TGTAAGTGTGTGTGTGTGTTGTGCACTTAATTTTTAGTCATTTTGTTTGTGCTTTTGTAAACGTGTGTGTGTGTGTATTTATTTCAGTTTTATTTCAATTTTACTTGTTTGTTTAATCTGATATTTAGATTTTATTTTAGCTTTATTTCCATTAACACAGTCTAATGATAATAACCTTACCAGGAACACAATTTTGATTTCATTTTGAAATATAGTATTTTGTACATGCATAGTATCTTCTGAGAGCACATACACACACACACACACACACAGATTGAAACCTACACAAATCCCAGGGTCTATGTGTTTTGGCTCCAAACCTGCAAGTACTAAAAACTCCTGCTGGTTCTCGAGAGCCTGTGCAGTCCCAAACCTGCAGCCGCCTCATAAATCCAGCGAGAATCCTGTGTGCAAGCATTCACACTCCCGCATGACCTCACTGACACATCTTCAGCCTCCGCAATCCGTCTCACTCGCGCCGTCTCACCCCCACTGAGCTTAAGCTCCGTTAGACCACCGATAATTTGTATTGAGTCGAGTTTTTATTTATTTATATATTTATATGTGTGTGCGCAAGAAACAGCCCATATTTACAGGCTTTTGGTGAGATTGGCTGACAGGGTCATGTGGAGTTCAGTCATTTGCTCGTATGTGCACTAAAATGACAGATGCGTCCACATCACCGCACTTATTTGCAGAGATTTATACCTGTTGAAATGTATGAATGTCTCTCGTACTTTAATCCGTTTGAATTCACAATCCTTCAGTGCTAGATGAAGATGGTGAGACATCACCCCAAAGCTCTCCTGGCCCCTTTGAAAATCCCATATCTATGAAGAGAAACATTCAGGAGAGAGGTGTCATTAGATGTGAAGACATTTTGAAAGCCTTTTTCCTGGTATGAATTCTTTGACTCCAAGGATGTAATTATGCCTATATACTGTGTGATCGTCGCTCTCTTACTGGTGTAGTTCACTAATTAGGGACAGGAACTGCCTCTGTACTACAGATGTAGTGAAGTATGTGAGGACTTTCAATTATTTATATTATTAAAATGATTTTTTTATTTATTTCACATTTATATGTGGAAAAAACATAATCAGTCAATCCTCATTTCTGTTTTCATAGTTGATGCTTAATGTTTTTTTCAGCAAAATTATTAACCCATGAAAAGGCATGGATTAAATTATCAATATTGGTAGTTTAAGAATCATTACCGAATTGTTTATTCGAGAACATTTTTAATTGCTAATTTCAGAAAGCTCTTACTTACTTACTGTAGTATTTTCTTCTAACTAATTTTCATTTTAGAGCTATTCAGTATGTGGGCATTTGTGACCTTCATACCAATGCAGTTTAGACCTGCCTCAAACTAGTTCTGTGTTTCTCTTCAGTCGGACCGTTCCGCTCGGCCTCTGTAGCCTGCTGCTTCAAGACCCCTGTGGGACGGTCCCTTTACGACCTCTTCCCTTCAGCCTACAGTTCACTCCGCTGGGATGTGCACGCTCCCCCTGAAACGGCCAGCTGTACTGTATGCACGGAATCAAAGCACTTTCAGATCTTATAAATATTTATCATGCAAACCATTTTTATTCATTTAAATATTTATTATGTTAATTTCTATCTGCACTGATTTTATATGTGTTCAAGCTATTGTTGTAGTATTCATCTTTCGCGATCGTTAATGCGCCCATCATGCCTTCGGTCAGTAAACTTAAACAGATGTCACAGGAACTGAGAGACGCAGGTTATTAACTTGACGTTGTCCAAGACTTTAATTGGTGACAGATTGATATGTCTTACAGGCATAGTTTTCTTTAAGTGTGCTGCAAAACAAAAGAACAAGCTTACATTTTAAATAGCTCTCATGTAGATTTTATTTTATTTTATTTGTCTGGGTTTTTTTGTCTGTATTTATTCATTTAGTGAGAAAAATAATTTACAGACAAAAAAATTTAAATTAAAATTCTGGTGTAGTTCACTAATTAGGGACAGGAACTGCCTCTGTACTACAGATGTAGTGAAGTATGTGAGGACTTTCAAGTGTAACCAAAAGGAAATAGCAGAGCTTGCAAGGCAGCAAAAACAGCTTTGAGCTTACAGCTTTGTATTTTGTACCAATAAAATGCTGCATGAAAGTCGTCGTTGACGTTTTCATGAAACATAGCAGGCATCTTGTTGTCAGTCAGCTGTCCGTGAGAATCATCACAGTCTTTTCTGTGTGAAGACAACTAGTGATGGTTGAATAAATATAAGACGACCCGTTACAATTGTCTATGCAATTATGTGCAGATATTACAATGGCCTCAACACTGTTGTTTGCAACAACAAAATAAAAAAGCATACTTAAAACTGCAATTATCTACAAAACAAAGTTCAAGTGAAGCTTTAATATATGAGCACTTTATGCCTAACTTACAGACTTTAATTACTTTTTATTTAGTATTTAATTTTAGTTTTTTTTTTTTTTTCAGTCAAATGTATTTTTTTATTTAAAAAATATACAAAATAAAAAATATAAAATTCTTTCACACCAAAAAGTACATTTCTAAACATATTAGTCATTATATATTTTTTTGTTTTAAGTATTCATTCAGTAAAAAAATAAAACAATATCTTTAAACAAAAAAAATGTTTTAACATTTTTATTTGTCTCTTGGTGGCACGTGGCTCTTTCTATCACAGATTCAGAGCTGTGTGCCTGTCAGGTCTTACGGTAAAGGTTATGTCATTCAGGACATGCTCTATACATCTGTGCTACATAACATGATTACATGGGAAGTGGCCTGTTACAGACATTTCCCCTGTGAGTAAAAATGTGCTCTTTGTCTAAACCAGAGATGACCAAAACCAGGACAAAAAATCTATACTGTATAAAGCAGCTGGACATTAATGCAGAACACATACTCACTGTCTCACATTCATTCTGTTAGTGAGTCAGCTGGGAAGAGGAGTATTTTGCTGTAAGTTGCAATAAATGGTGTTATAGACTGACAAAATGGTTCACAAACAATCATTAGGGAAAGCTTTCCAACATTAATCTTTAATATGAGTGTTTTCCAAATGTACATAACATCCTGTAAGGGTTATGAAATAAAAATGAAAATTTTCATGATTTACTTACATTGTTCCAAACCAGTGGAATACAAAATGAGATTTTTTTTTTCTGTTCTTTTCCTTACATTTAAAGTGAATAGGGATGAATGCTACAAGACATATGATTTCTGTCATTTCTCTGACTTCCTTCACTTGTATTCTGCTTTTTAAGCAGTGTTAACATCCTGCCTAACATTTCCATTTGTATTTCCATGTGCCGTCAGTACCGAGTGAGTTCCGTGTTTGGAGGAAGTCATAAAATTGCTTGAGGGTATCCACGATCCAAAATCAACACGAAAAGGAAGGCGTACTGAACTTTGCAGCTGCTCTACCAGCAACTGGTCAATATCCCCTCCTTTTACTTAACATGTAAAATATTCAAACACTCCATAAATACTCTGAAATAATTTTCATGCTGGAGTGTTTAATATCAGCGCTGCAGTATGATGGATTGGCACCTTTATGAGGCCATATCTTGTTTATTTTATAAAGTCTGTAAAAGCCGGCTGTATGAGACCGAGATGAATGCGGCGCTGCCTTGTGTTGTGACGTCAAGCTGACCAGCAGTCAGTGACGCTACGTTTATTATTCTGGCCTCTCTGAAAAATGTGGAAAATGTGTGTCTACATTTGGCCAAGAGTTTAAATTGTTTGCAGTGACTGGAGATGCAAAGGGCTGATTCTCGTTAACCATCACAGGCCTCGCAAGGTTTGATGTCACAATGAAACCGTAGTATGTGCATGTGGTACAGTATGTATTGAACAACTCTTAAGACTCCAACAAATTGCTCATGAAGGCTGCTTGTGTTCCAGATTGTGCTCCAGTGTTTGTTTTTCCGGTCTCAATTTACTTACTGTTGGATCTGTGTTGTGACGTCAAGCTGACCAGCAGTCAGTGACGCTACATTTATTATTTTGGCCTCTGAAAAATGTGGAAAATGTGTGTCTACATTTGGCCAAGAGTTTAAATTGTTTGCAGTGACTGGAGATGCAAAGGGCTGATTCTCGTTAACCATCACAGGCCTCGCAAGGTTTGATGTCACAATGAAACCGTAGTATGTGCATGTGGTACAGTATGTATTGAACAACTCTTAAGACTCCAACAAATTGCTCATGAAGGCTGCTTGTGTTCCAGATTGTGCTCCAGTGTTTGTTTTTCCGGTCTCAATTTACTTACTGTTGGGTCTGTTGCCTTTTTTCTCATTTTTTTATATAATATTTAATGCAGTTGGAATTTTTTGGCTTATTGGTCAATCTTGGTATTGGTAATAAAACCTGGTTCAGATGTAAGCACAAGGATTTGAAAAACCTAAAGCCATACAGATAAAAAAAAAAAAAAGATTCTGCCATATCCTTTTTGAAATATTCCAGTCAGCTGCTGAAAATGTTTTAGTTTGTTTTGTTTTGGTTTTATTTTTGTTTTGTTTTGCTTCACTTTGATTTGTTTTGCTTCGCTTTGATTTGTTTCGCTCTGCTTTGATTTGATTTGTTTTGCTTTGCTTTGCTTTTTCATTTTGTTGTGTTTTTTTGTTTTGTTTGTGGTTCATTGTCATTTCGTTTGGTTTTCTTTACTTTTGCTTTGCTTTGCTGAGTTTTGTTTGTCTTTGTTTTTGATAGTTTTGTTTGTTTTATTTTATTTATTTATTTATTTTTGGTTTATATTATGTATATTGTGTTATTGGTATATTATGTTATGGCTATATTATGTTTTTTATTGAATACCCATCTATTTTTTTTTTCTAAATGAAATCAAGTTCCATTTTTGTATGATGTACAGTAGGTTGGATTTGCCCAGCCTAATTTATTTTATGAATTTGAATATGTTTGATTCTGCTGTATCCTCTTTGAAATCCCAGTAATTTTGTCTTTTGATTGATGTTGTTTTTCTCTGTTTTTGTTTCTCAGAAGAAGAACCTGCACTTGCTGTTGAGCATTTTTCTGCTGGGCTTCTGGGGTGTCATCCTTTTGGCTTGCCGTCTTTACTGGATGGGAAACAAACCTCCGAACTTCTCCAACTCGGACAACCCTGCAGCAGACTGTCCTTGTTTCCTAACTAGGACGCTAACATTCTTTTTTCTCCCTACAATGAACGTTTGGCTCCTCCTGTGCCCTGACATGCTAAGTTTTGATTGGTCAATGGATACTCTGCCTCTTGTGCGGAGCCTTGCAGATTGGCGAAACCTCCACACCGTGGCCTTCTACACCTCGCTTCTAGCGCTGGCATGGTTTGGGCTTTGCCATTACCCAACCAAAAGCAAGGAGACCAATGGGAAAGCACATCATGTAGCAAACGGGAAGTCCACAAACGGACACAGTTGTAGCTCTGATTATGAACACTCAACTTTTTACTCAAACTCCGTGCAGATGAATGGAACAAATGGTACTGCAAAACACTATTCATCGTCTTTGCCCACCACAGAGAGTTTGGTGGTCTTCTCATTGGGTCTGCTGGCCATTCCCTTTATCCCTGCCACCAACCTATTCTTCTATGTAGGCTTCGTGGTGGCGGAGCGAGTACTGTACATCCCTAGTATGGGCTTCTGCCTGTTGGTAGCAGTGGGGATGAGAGCTTTATATGTCAGATTGAGGAGGAAGTCCTCCAGAACTTTGGTGCTAGGCTGCTCAGCAGCCCTGGTCCTTCTTTTTGGGATTAAGACAGTGTTGAGGAACCGTGACTGGCAGAATGAGGAGATGCTATACAAGTCAGGGATATCTGTGAACCCTGCTAAAGGTAATTTCAACCCTCTGGGGTCTGAGTTGATTTTGGGGCCCTTGAGATAATTTGACATGCCCTGACATTTTTGCTCATTTCAGCTACTTATATCATTTAACATAGTCCAAGTAATTCAGGAGATTCTTCCTCCCCTGTATTGAATGACATTTCTACCTATTTTCCAGTGTTATTTTAGTATAATTGAAATAATATTTTAGTTTTTAGTAATATTTTGAATGTTTTGAGTTTTGTACTTTTTCATTTAATTTTTAAGTTTTAGTAAATTTGTGTTTTGTCATTTGTATATATTTTAATGTGTCTTCATAGATTTTATTCATTTTTTAATTTTATATTTATTTAAAGGGGTCATATGATGCTTTTTTTAAAGATCATTATTTTGTGTATTTGGTGTAACAGAATATGTTGATATGCTTTAATGTTCAAAAAACATTATTTTTCAAATACTGTACATTATTGTAGGTCCTCTATGCCCCGCCTCTCTCAAACGCTTCGTTTTCTTACTGAAACCACGCCTTCTTTCTTTGCGTGCACATTTGGAATCATTATGCAAATATTTCCACATAGTGAGGTAGATATGTGGAGGCGTGTTAGAATGAGCCGTTTTAGGGGGCGTGGCAGAGTCTTAACTTTGATAAAGAATATCTCTTTGGTTTTGAGACTTTAGTCTTTGCAACTTCAGGGATCTTATCTATGCACAATCAGCTTGTAACACTCCAAAGAGAAAGGAAAACTTGAAATCGCATCATATGACCCCTTTAATATTTTATTTCAGTTAACGTTTAAATTACAGGTAACAAAATGTTATTTTCTGGTTTTAGTTAACTATAAAACCCTGCAAGATATTGGGAGTGTAATTCTTGTTTATGCAGCCATATTGTAATATTTAGTTACCCAAAGTCATATTCCAATTCATCTACACTACAACTAGGCGATGTTAAGTGTTACTTAACTTAAGGGTGACAGCAGGATGTGTTGCAATCATTCTTTTCCCCACAAATGCTGCTGCAAACCAAACATGGAAGTTGCTGATCATGAAAAGTTTTGAGGTTTGAGGTAGGGATGTTCATTTCGGTTATTTTTCCTAACCGACAACCGACGCTCGTTAACTGATTATTAACCGTTAACCGACAAGATTATTTTAAATTAGAATTTAATTAAATTAGAAAGGATAAAATGAACATCCCTAGTTTGAGGGTTTATGTATCAAGTTTCCTCAGCCTCTCTTCATTTCTGTACTCATTTTTGGTCTATGGCTCAAATATTTAAATTTAAATCTAAAACATTTACTTAGATAATTTTTAGGTAAGTGATATTGACATTTACAAAGTGTGCACTGACATAAAAAACAAAATCACAAATTCCTTTTTAAGTACTAAGTTCCATTAGCACAGTGAATATTGCTTAATTAATTGTAAGCACAAAATGATGATTTAATGCATTAGAATCATTAGAATTTCCCCCAGTTTATCAGTCACATAGATTCATGCATCAAATTCATTTTGTGTATGGAGCAGAGCCACTGAACTGTTAAATTATCATCCTCTCTGATTCATCTATTAACGACAGCTAGTTATCTTTATTTGTTAAATCTCTCAAATTGATTGTCACAATTTAATTTAAATCATTTATCAAGCCAGACTGCATCAATATGACTTTGTAATTACCTCTGGTGATCCAATTTTACAGGCTGTGGTATTCTCGCCCCTTTCATGGCACAGATACTATGCATGAGTAGCATCTAAAATTGCATTATTATAATGTAATTTACTTTTTTTCCTTGCTTGTACCTCTCATAAGCCTTTATGAATTTCAGATTCTGTATCCAGTTTACTATGTGACTTGGAAGCGCAAAACGTTTGCAAAGTTTCACACTGTTGCGCTATGATGTAACCTAACCAACCAAAATGCAACATTGTGAAATTTTATGAAACGTTCTGGAGACCATATCAAAGACACCAATAATGTAACAAGAAAGGACACACAATTTACATATTTGGTTTACCAGAAATAGAATGTTGTGGAAACATTGTGACTACCTGGTACAATTTGCCTTTTTAAAAAATCATCCATTTTTATAAACGATACAAAATCAGACCAAATGAAAATCAGACCACAACTATTTTGTTAAGTTAAATATATATATATATATATATATATAATTATTAAAAGGTGGTGGAGGCCGAGCGAGCCTACAGGAACGCTCTGTACTACCGGAGGAACATGGCTGACATGTTGTATAACCTGTGAGTGAGCGAACTTCCTCCTAACAGCTGACTTTATTGATCTGTCCTAGTAAAGCTGAGGAAATCTCCTGAGAGGCCAGACTATGACTGTCCCCAGATTCATCAGCCTTCCAGAGGACGGTGTCAGGGACCCACTAGACGCATTAACCCCCACAGTCAGGGCATGAAGGCGCTTCATACATAATTCATATACCGCACACGTTTGGGCTGTTCTCCGTTATCCATTTAAGCAGTGGGGATGGGAATCCTTAGGCACCTCACAATTCGATTTGATTTTAATTCAGGGAGTTGTGATGTGATTACAAAACGATTCTCGATGCATCTAATTTTTTCAACAAGAGCGTACCCAGTGAGTGAGTTTAGAGTGATAGATTTTGCACACTACGTCATACATGGGATGTTTTCCTGCATATGCTTTTTCAATGAATAACATTATATTAATTGTAATAATAATTATCATGGAAACCATAAAGTAAATTTCAATTGTTCATCATTTAAAACTATTATATTCTAATTTCTAATTTTACCTGTTTAAAAAATGTTTTCATTCCTGTTCATTTGTTCCTGCTGAATAATTCTTACAGGGAAACCTTTTTTTTTTCTCTATTAGGCTTCTGTAAAATTAGTACAAACACAGGGCTTTGAGTTTGTTTTCGTTCTCTGGAAGTTGATTTCAAAGTTATTTAACTTCATTAAATATTGAACAGTTGAATGCAAATGGAGTGAATATAATAATTATCATTTTATTTTATTACTAAATTATTTTAAGTGTGTGGGTTTTTTTTGTCTCTTACTGCATATTTTTCTGAAAAAATAACAGGTTTGACTTTTTATGTTGTAGGTTGCTAGTCCATCAATTTAAAATATGCCCAGTTGATTTAAAAAAATCTTACAGGGCATTTGGGAAATAACTTTTCTTCCCACTAGCCTTTGTAATCTTAGTACAAACTCAGGGCTTTGAGTTTGTTTTCATTCTCTGGAAGTCGATTTCATAGTTATTTAACTTAATTAAATATCACTGAAAAAAATGTTGATATAAATGAAATTAATTGAATGGTTTGTTTTTTGTCTTTTTCCTTTTTTTGTTAATTTGAATTAATTGTGTTACCCATACTTTGTAATTGTTCATGTTCTAATTTTTCCTTCCTTTTGGATTGCAGGGGTCTGTTGCTCCAGGAAAACAACAGATTCTCAGAGGCCCTCCACTACTATAAGCTGGCCATTGGGAGCAGGCCAACGCTGGCTTGTAAGTACAGCTCCTCTTTTTATGAACAATTTCAAGCCGCCTCAGTCTTCACTGTGTCCAGGCAACTGCAAATTAAAAGGTGTGTGTGTGTGTGTTCGAACTAAGTCCAACATTAAAGAAATAATGATGATTCACAGGCCTACACAGTCGCTCTGTTTCCACTCTTGTCAAGGAATGATTGACGTTTGATTCGATTTCAACAGAAAAAAAGAATCCAGGCCAAAATCCTTTATACTATTTGGCCCAGTGTGGATGCATTTGCTTGCCTCTTATCCAAATGAAATGCATGTGCTATTTTTGGCCGTTTTAAGGTTTCTCATAGAATTTCCCATGTTGTTTTTAGTGTCATGGGAGGAAATTATTGCTACTCTGCTTGAATGACTAGATTTGCCCAGGGAGACAATTATCATGATGTGTGCAGCGGGGTCTGGGAATTTTTAAGTCAAATTTTGCTTTACAAAAGGACATTCTGTAAAACATTCTGTATAAGTCATTCAGAATCAACTAGCTGGTCAGCCAGTGTATAATAAGGATGGTTTAGGGTCAAGTGTACCACATTTTGTAGGAGATACATTTTTAATAATACAAAAGAGTAAATATTAATATTACTAAATATTTTTAATAATAAATTCACTGGCAAATCAGCATATTAGAATGACTTCTGCAGGATTATGTAACACTGCATACTGAAGTAATGGCTGCTGAAAATTTGGCTTTGCCATCATAGGAATAAAGTACATTATAATTAAAGTATATTAAAATAGAAAACAGATATTTTAAATTGTAATAATGTCACAATTTTACTGTTTTTACTAATATTTCTTTTATTGTTTTTACTGGTACTGTACATTAAATGTTAGCCTTGGTGAGCATAAGAGACTTCTTTCAAAAACATAAAAAATTATTTAAATTATTCCAAACTTTTGACATATATGCATACATTTATATAGTGTACATATTACAGTAAACAGTACATATTACATAAACAGTAGAAAAAATAAAAGAATAAAATAAGTAAAATTTGTATTCAATACATAAAATGGTAATAATAACCCATTAAATAAAGAATTATGATTAAAGTCATATTTTTGCATTGGTGCAAAAGTTTAAAGAATTCACCCCTGAATTTCAGAGCAAAAATATCTCCTCACTCGCTACTTTCCTCATATGCCACTTTAGTGCAGTAGCATTTCCTCCCAATTTAATGTGTTGTGAGACATCTGTAAGAGATCTGTAATAGTTTGAGATCAGAGCACGCACATATTGCAGCTCTGAGGAGAGCGATGGATGTCTACTAGTCCCTGCTGCAGGAGTCCTGATAGATTGTCCCGTCCTGTGATATAAACTCATTTCAATCTGTGGTTCTGTGTGTATGCATGGTCTATTAAGAGCATCAGAATTGAGCCTGCAGCTGGAGTGGATATTCCCCTGCTGATTTAGATTTGATTCTGGCCGGGTGGATAGTGAATATGTATTGGCACCTTATCGACTAGACTGCAAGGCCGCTGATCTTCATAAATCAACTAGTTAATTCCTGCAGCCCCAGTGGAGGTCTTTCTCTGAGCCTCAATAAGCCTCATTACCTTTTGCACTGATATACACCCTTTCCTCTCTCTTTCAGCTGCCTACTTGAACACAGGGATTGTCCTGATGAACCAGGGCCGTCTAGAAGAGGCCAAGCGCACTTTTGTCACTTGTGCCGATATCCCAGATGAAAACCTGAAGGATCCTCATGCACATAAGAGCTCAGTCACCAGCTGCCTGTATAACCTGGGAAAGCTTCTTCATGAGCAGGGCCACCAGGAGGTGAGACACTCTCCAGCACAGTTAAAGCCTTTAGATTTCAATTCTGTACACACCAAATCTGAGGTTACGAAAGTATAAAAATCAGTTTTCACACCACAACTTTTCAGACCAATGCTTTAACCATGAAATGTATAATTTCTGACCGTTTTCAAATTGGTTTCCCAGAAATTATATAAAGTGAAAAGAACGATCATCAAAATGTTATATTTCAGACTCTTGAACTTGATTTAATTGGCTTGTTTTCTTTGTGAAAATTAAGGCTTGGAATGAATAAACTTTTAGTCTGAGTACTTTGTTATGCTTACAATTGTGACTTTTTATGAATTAATGGTGTATTCTGTTTTTAGGAGGCCATATCTGTATATAAAGAAGCGATTCAGAAGATGCCCAGGCAGTTTGCCCCACAGAGCCTTTATAATATGATGGGTAAGTTTGACGCTGTCTAGAATGCTTTGTTCCAGTGTCAGATATATTTTTGTATGACTGTAATAAAAAAAATAAAAAAAAGCCATTGCTCCATTACTCCAGTCTTCAGTGTCAAATGATCCTTCAGAAATCATTTTAATATACTGATTTAGAGCTCAAAAAACATTTCACATTATTATCAGTGTTGAAAACATTAGTGTTGCTTATTATTTTTGTGGAAACTGTGATGCAGTTTTTCAGGATTCTTTGATGAATAGAAAGTTCAAAAGAAAAACATTTATTGGAAATATACTTTTTTTGTAAAGTGACATGTCTTTACAGTCACTTTTGATCAATTTAATACATCCTTGATGAATAAAGCTATTAATTTCTTTCAAAAAAAATTTTAGAAATCGTTAAAAATAAAAAGAATTTAAAGTGCCCCTATTATGGGTTATGAAAGGTTCATATTTTGGTTTTGGGAGTCCCCAACAACAGGTTGACATTCATGCAAGGTCAAAAAACACTTTCATTGTCTTATAATATGCATTTATTTTTACCTTACTTGCTCAACGACTCCCAAACGATTCGCTCAACGATTCATTTTTCCAAACCCCTACTTTGCGTGACGCTAATCTGCGGTGATTGGTCGATTGGTCTCATTTTCATTTCATCATGCCTGTAATGCCTGATAAAGCAGCGTTTGTGAGCGCAGTGCTGCTTTGTTTACAGCCGTTACCGGGGAAACAGCTATTTTTACGGCTCCAAAAGCTGCACCTAGTGGCAAAGAATGAATTTGCATCTTCATTCAGACCAACTGGAAAAGACCAACAAGTAGGCGGGCAATATGCTAATGTTTCATGTTGAAGTCAATATTGTTGCAGTGTTTGTTTTGTTTCTAGGCTGATTGTTTTCTGTGATGTAATGGACTGTTTTTCTTAGCAGAGACTTTAAGCTCTCTACAAGATAGTAAAATCTACAAGATAAGCTAGTTAAGCTGTCTACACGATCATAAAATAATTTCACCTCAAATCAATATTTTATGTCTGTATATTTATTTGGTAAGCAGTTGTGTAATAATAAGTGAGATCATGTACAGTCAGCAGGCCATTATTGCAAAATAAACCCCTTCAGGGTGATAAAAGACCTCACTGTCGGTCTTATTTTGCAATAATGACTTACTGTACATTATTCCTTACATACTGTAACTCCATATTGTTTTTATCTTGTCTCACCAGTGGGTCTGTAATTGTAATTGTGCCTTTTCTGCTGAACCCACTTCCATAGCATTCTTTTGATCTATATAGAATCGATTTTGTCAGATCGAGTCAACAGCTTCACAAACAAGATAAGTTAGAGGCTTTGTACAATACAGAGAGCGTGAGAATCGTTCTGTTTTATTTAGAGCATGGGAGCAAACTGTTAGATTTTAATATCTTATGCAACACATTTACCAACCCACAGCTTTCAGCCTTTCCCTCCCATCTCATTTTTTCACAATTATCTCTTAACTATTTTTCTGTAATTCTTTTTTCCCCATGTTCATTTCTTTCCAAGCTCATTTGTTGTTAATTTTTCGGGTTTGTGTTCTTTTGTTTGTTGTCACTGTTTCAACTGTATTGAGCTCATTCTAACAGCCAAAATCGACAGCTGTCTCCTCTGACCAACTGAGCCAAATACAGCTTGACTGAGGAGGTCAGATTTTATCTGTTAAACAATCCTTTTAAATTGCTAAATATACCAGCATGTGGATGTTTTGTACACTACCATTCAAATTTGGGGTAGGTAGGAGTTTTTTTATGTTTTTGTAAGAACTATCTTACCAAGGCTGCATTTATTTGATCAAAAAATAAAACCATTTTAATATACTTTAAAATGTAATTTATTCCTTTATGATGCAAAGTTGAATTTTCAGCAGCCATTAGCCACATGATCCTTCAGAAATCATTATAATATGCTGATTTGATGCTCAAGAAACATTTTTTTTCAGGATTCTTTGAGAAATAGAACATTCAAAAGAATAGAATTTATTTAAAATCAAAATCTTTTGTAACATTATAAATGTCTTTACTGTGACTTTTGATCACTTTAGTGCATTGCTGAATAAAAGTATTAGAATAGTGTAGTAGATTTTTTTTCATTGCTAAATTCATGATCATACTCTTACTGTTAGGACTCTTCAGAAACAATGTTTTTCTATTGCACAAAACAAATGTGTGACGAATGAGGAATTGTGTTTGTTTAAGATTTGCTTAATGAGTCAGAGTTTTCTGTATTTCTTCAAAATCTGCGTTTCCAAAGCAATATTCTTGTTAATTTACAAACATGGCGAGAGTTTTGTGTGACATCATCATTCCCAGCTGTCATTAGTGAGCCATCTGCAGTATGTCATTTTTTTCTCTTTAAAATAATAGCTGAAAATTCCAGCGTTATTTGACTTTAGGCTGTTTTAATGACCCACGTGTCCTATATTTGACATTGGTGTGGACAGACGTGTATTGAGACTGGTGGGTCATGTGAAACCCCAGTGTAGTCACATATGCTCTGCTTATGTTATTTTAGCTCTAATTACATTACATTAACATTGTTTAGGCTGTGTTATCTCAGTGAAGTAGCTGTGATAGGTTCTTCTGTAATAATCTGTCTGAGAGGAGCGTGTGTGTTATTGCAGGTGGGTGGGGAGCTGGAGGCTGGCTGAGGTATTAGATGATGTTTAAAGGATAGGAGTGTGTGTTTATACTCGTGTCATGAGGAGTCAGCTTTTACGTCTGGATTTATAAGAGTAGGGTTGGCACTGGGACAGGCATGGCTTTGAATTGCTGAGCTGAAGACCGGAGGACAGTATTTTTAGAGTAGTATACATGGGTCAATATCACCATATGCCTTTCAACCCTCACGATACTCAAAAATGTTGGTTTTAATTTCCCATTCGCTTTATGTCATGTCATAAATAGTAGACACTCAAGTACTATAGAAACATATTAGCTGAGAAACATATTGTAAAATATCAAGATGACAGGGTGGACCAGCACATGACGGGGTGGACACATAATGCAGAAAACACAAAGCATGACAAAATATGATAATGAAACATTTATTCAACTTTGGAAAAAAAATATATATAATAATAAATAATATAATTACATCCTCAATCACATTGATATACCCCTCCCCATTCATTTTAGTTTTTAGCAATATTAGCTACAAATGAATGCTATGTCCACCCTGTCATGTGTATATCCACCCTATCGAGTCTAAGTGGCCGACAGGGTGGACATTTTGAGCTTCAATTAGCATATTAGCTTACAACAAACTGTGATTAGCTAAATAGTTAGTCTGGTTGTTGAAGAGAATTTGGTATATTTAAACTTACATATTTTGAAAATACTGTATTCTAATCACTTCTGGCATATTTTATGCTGAAAGGGTGGGCATGTTAAGCTTTGGAAAAGCAAGTAAGCAAACTCATACAAAGAAAATTTGTCAACTGAAAAGTCACCAACTTACTCACCTCAGCCGTTGAAATTCCCGCCACTGAAGAGACAAAAAAATCTGTTGTCTTGATGTCACTGAAGGGGATGGCCTTTTCTTAAAGGGGCGGATTCCCCAATATGACAGGGTGGACAACCATTCAAGGGATATGGACGTAATCTCTTATTTAACAAAATATTAATAGGGGAACAAAATGTTAAAATTTTATGATTTGACAGTATTCTACTATCATTCAAATTTAATGAGCAGTGCATGGAACATAGCAAAATAACACGCATCCTCTTACACAAAACTAAAAAAAAAATGTATCTAAAGAGACAAGTAATGCTTTTGTTATGATTATAAAAAATTAGCCTATCTATCTAGCT